AATTTTGTTCTAATCTCATTTCAAACAAAAATTTCCAGTACTGTTTTACAATACACTAGACTATATATGTTCGTGGTAAAAGTCGTTCACAAGAAGACAGTCAGAAAGAAAAAAAAAGAAAAAGAAAAAGAAATAAAATATAGAATGGCTTCCTTGTTTACCAGCTTGCTAGAAGGACGATGTGGTAGGAAAAAGGTGAGAATTTCTCGAAATCCTGATAAATGCCTTCCGGTACGGTCGAGCCGTATCGAACTTCTTTGCTTTTGTTCGTTGTTGGATATACACAGGGGGGCGGCCTTTCATTATCGTAAATTTTATTTCTCGTCGTGGGTGAACACGTCCGTCGCTTTGCCATGCCACACTAGTTTTATGGTCGCCCGGCGAATATCACGATACGACGTCGCACTCGTTACCAACGTGGTCCAATAAAATCTGAAACAAAACTTCAGCCCTTTTCTTTAGGGGACATAACAGAAAAAATATACATACTCGTAAAAATTACGTGGTCGATCCTTCGATATCGTGGTCGATCTTTCGAATTACGATTATATTGTTCTCTACAATCAATATTTTATTGATTTCATTTATTTTTATTTGTTATTATTTTTAATTTATTTTTCATAACCGACATAGTTTTCATTGAATATAGAAGTAAGTGTTAAGTTACTGTTTATCTTTGATAATTATTATTTGAAAAATATATTATCTTATATCTCATTTGCAAATTATTATTAATTTTAGAAATGACTATAACTTTTATCATTCGTGATATCGTTATAAATTCGTTAAGATTCATATTTTACACACGTTTAAGATATCGTTAAATATAATTTCTATAAAATCGATTAAATAAAAATGATGTATCTCGTCGACTCGAGTTTTATTGATAAAATTTTGAATACGAGATATTTTTGTATTTACAAGGGAGAAAGTTTCTTCATCTTTAAATATGTTCCTTCTAATTATGAATGACAAAGGGATTCGAGAATCCCTTAAGACTCAAGAATACCCAAAGGGAGCCGATCGAGAAGGGAAAGATATAAAACAGCGAAAAAGAAGAGAGAGAAAGAAAGAGAGAAAGAGAGAAAGAGAGAGAGAGAGAGAGAGCATTTACTGTACTTTTTCAAACAATTTCCTCCATGTAGACTTTTTCACAGCATCGATAATTCGATGACAAAAAGAAAAAAGGAAAAGATAAATGATCGCAACTCGTCGATCAAACTAAGTGAGTAACGAGAAGACTACGCCGACTTGACCGCTAATTAATTAATTAATTACTCGAAGATATTTCGCTAAAACTTTAATCGCAAGACTTCAATTATGTCAGGAACTTAGAACTGTCTTAAGTACAGTAATTATTTACGAGAATAATATTTCAAGTTATATCCGATTCTTCATTTCAGTATTTGATAATCTATATTGATTATGATATATCGTTGCGATCGATTCTGACTGCAAACAATAATGGTTTGACTTCCATTTAGATTCAAAATTTCTATCATTCTATTGCATATATATTCTACATGTTACTTTACAATATAATAACGAATATGACTTTCTGTTTGAATCGACACGTGTAATTAATAACGTCAAATAAGCCATTTAATTAAAGATAGAACATGAGCAAAAAACAATTCTACGTAACGTTATTGAAATCTATTAACAATGTAATCGAATTAAATCATTTTAATTATAAACTAACAATCGATCGAACATGTTTTTGTATGCTTTTATATACCTCCTCCAGATATACAAGTATTACTATTATATATTTGTTATAGAGTACAGACTATACTTCAATGACTTAATCACATTTATTACATCGTACAGCTGTTCGCAATCTCTAAATCTTGTTACCGGTAACATATTGATAGAGTTAGAGAAAAAGAGAGAGAGAAAGAGAGAGAGGGAGTCAGGAGAAAACGAGACGTCACTGAAATTCACGCCTCGAGGACGTCGTTTCGTTGACGATGCGATCGTAGAATGCACGTAAGACGAAAGGAAAGGAGGATGGAAGGAAGGAAAAAAGGATAGAATGAAAATGAAAAAGAAGAGTTCGGTCTCGACGGAGCCTGTCTTACCTACCTTCTTCTTCGTTCTCAGCTTTTTCTCATCTACGAAGCGCGAGCGACCTAATTTTCACGCCACTAAGCGACGAAACCATGGTCAGCTACTGTCCATGTGTAGTATATAGTCTGTATAGTACCTACACTTCCTTGTTACTGGATATATATATATATATATATATATCCAGTATATATATATATATATACATACACACATATATATATACACATATACATACACATACACGAATGTTTCTGAACACGTCTACACAATATAACATCCTGTCTAAGTTCAGTAGCCTAACGTACGTAGGTACAGATAGATACATAGATATATATATATATATATATATATATATATATATATATGTATATATATATATGTTCCATTGTCTCTATATATGAAGTATGTACTACGTAGATAGTCCACGCAAGGACTCACACAAGCCTTTCTCACGCCTGTTTCTCTCTCCTAAAAGATACTCACCACCAACGAGTACACACACGTTGCCTCCAATATCCGTAGTGAAACAGTATTACGGTAGGTGCAACCTCGAAAATTTCAGGCTGACCGAACGGCCTCGAATCTAACCATTACTACTTGCTCTTGGTATACATGTATATATGTATATATATATATATATATCTATGTAATTTCACGCATACTATCTGGTCTTTTTTTTCTTTTTTTTTTTTTATCGAAATATAATATCGACTTTAAAATTCGCACGAGTGATGCAATCGCTCTACGTCTCGATAAAACGTACGATTTTTGTACCCTATTAATTGGAGAGGATAAGTTGATTCCGTGAAAAACTTTAATTACTGCCGTAATGAAGGAGTAATCAGCTAATTTGTTTTATCTTACCCTCGTTATAAAAGATGTTCATTATCTCCCGATAATTAATTTTCATATTTTCAAATGAAAATATCTTCCAATTGAATGATATTAAATTTTTCTAGAAAATTTTATTAATTCGATGGTTCAATTTGATAAAATAAATCTCAGATTGTTCAAGGAGGACCCTACATTTGGTTGAAAATATTACGAGAGTTGGTATCCCACGCTATGATGTTTTCTGCCGTTGTAAGAAAAGTTCATAAGAAAAATTTCGAAATTTTATTGCGTCACGTCGAGAGCGTTTTTCTTTCTATCCCTTAGAAACGTCAGCTTTCTGACTTGTCCTCCATCGACTTCGCTGCGGGAAATGCATAAAATATTTATGCGAGCGCGTAGCCATTGTGCCGCGAAGAAATTTGAAATTTTACTGCCTGCCTCGAGTACCGTTCGAACATTGGTGTATCTACTATCTTTCTTTTCTTCTATCTCTTTCTATCTTTCTTTTTACCAGATGTAGCAGCCTGTATTCGTCGTTCGACAGAGAATGACGCCGAGGGGCGATTTCGAAGCAAGCTTTCCATTTTGTTTCTATCGAACGAGCCAAGCTACGATCGTTCTGTGTTATGCGTTCTTTATTTATTTATTTATTTCTTTTTCTAAGTCTTTAAAGTATTTTTTTATTCGCATGGAAAAAGTACGAAATATTATATACGAATATAGTTACGTTTGAATCTTATCGAAGAAATAAAATATAATAGAAAAATCTATTATCTCCATTACCATTAATTTCATCGAAAAATAATATGGATTAAAATCAATTAAACAAATCTGAATGTTCCTATACATTCGTTTTGTACAAAATAAATTGATCGATGTAGAAAGTTTGAAGATAATTCTTGTTCAGGAAGATGCAAACAAACGCTAATTCGCGTAGATCGCCATTACTTCTTCTCGAGTGGATGCTAGAAAGCCATTCTCAAGCGTGTCTCATCCATGTAATTGCAACGAGTGGTATTAATCATTCCACCGAGTCATACGTGTACCTATTCTCAAGTAGAATCGCATTACATCCATTCTTGCGTTTTGATCGGACGGAATATACGCAAGTTCGAATTTCTCATAAGAACGATTTAAACGTTTAATCGAAAGCGATCGATATCTCGATGCACCATTTCTCCCTCTCTCTCTCTCTCTCTCTCTCTCTCTCTCTTTCTCTCTCTCTCTTTCTCTTCTTTACGGAAACGAACCAAGTCCAATATACCAAGTTACGGAATGGAGGCCAATCGAGTTCTCACGAAAATTAATTCCCGATGTCACGTTTACACCCACCCATCTTTCAGCCTTCATCAACAAGACCCAGAAAAGGGAGAGAAAAGCAGGCTGTTCTACGATTGGTGACGTTCTTATACATAGTGAAATAGAACAGATAAGATTGATACGATTTGTGGAAAGAAAACCTGTTAAATGAACAAGTACTAAAAGCCAAAAATTGACTATAATTATAATTTACAAGAACATTTAAAATTGGATGGATATAAATATGTTCCCATACAAATAAATATTTTTTAATGGATGATTTTAAAGAAAATACTGCAGCAAATAATTTCATTTAAATCATTTATCATTTTACAGTTTCGAAATCGTTATAATAAAGTAATTACACACATCATCATCTCTAAAAAGAGAGAGAGAGAGAGAGAGAGAAAGAGAGTAAAACGAAACGTGTTCTTATATTATCTCCCTTTTTCTTCCGTATATGATGAAAAAAAATAGAGAGAAAAAAAGAGATGGAGAACGCGTTGAAAACAGAGAGAAAGGGATCACGATGGAGGGGATGAGATAGAAAGAAAGGAAGAGCGGAGGAGAGAGAAAGCACTCGGAAAGGTGAGAGGAGGACGAAGAAGGGGTGGAAGGCTGGTGGAGACTGCGTCGGAGTGGGAAAGCGTTGCCGAACGGCACAGTAGGGTGGGAGGGATGAGACGGAAGGGCGAGGATAACTAGAGAGAGAGAGAGAGAGAGAGAGAGAGAGAGAGAGAGAGAGAGAGAAAGAGAGAGAGAGAGAGAACGAGTGAGTGAGAGAGAGAGAGAGAGAACGAGTGAGTGAGAGAGAGAGAGAGAGAGAGACAGAGAGAAACGACGAGGGTTGGTTCGCCAAGCTCAGTTACGCCGCGCCCCTTGCGAAGAGCGCTGCGCCTCGCGAGCGAGATCGTAGTACCTTTGATTTTTAAACGGGCCCTTTTGAACTTGTACAACTTCTACAGACAATTTGTGTTATCGTCCCTATTCGTGTCCCTTACGATCAAGTAGAATTTTTAATCGTACGGTATTTTTTATTTTATCGTGATAGAAAGAAAAATAAAAACGGAAAAAAGGAAAAAGAAAAAAATAAAGAAATGTTTCGTCATCAGGAAGGAGCACGTGTTCGTGCTTGAAAACGTTTTTGTCAGATCGGTATCTTGATCGAGATGAAGTGACGTTTTTATTTTGAAAGTAAATATAATATAGACCAATAGAGGGGAAAGTTTTAGTGTTTAGTGTTACTCGAACAAAATATTTCGTGCCTGATCGAAGACAGTCGTGTGATCGTTGGATTGGAATAAAGGTTTTTTTTAAGTTGGAAGGATTTAAACGAAGGGAAAAAGTAGTGCCCAGGAAATCGTTTTAATATATTCTCGAGTGGAGGGAAATGATCTTGTTGGCTGCGCAGTTGAAAACATGTCAACGAGGGAGAACTTGAGATAGGAAGAGCTAGAAAGAGAGAGAGAGAGAGAGAGAGAGACAGAGATACAAAGGAAGAAAAAAGAAGGGATATCTAGAAATTCAGTTAAGCTCCGATAGACAAGTAAAATAAGAAGAAGAAAGAAGATGTGAGATGTCCTAACGCCAGGAGAAAGAAAAAGAAAGAAAAAAGGAAAGAGAGAAAGAGAGAGAGAAAGCAAGAAAGGGATTGGAGAATAAGAAGAGGGCGGTACCGCGCGCGTAAAGAGACTCACCTCTATGAGAGTTATATGACATAGAAAACAGCCGTTACGCGAAAATCTTCAACGACGAAAGCGAACTCCATGATAAACTTTTCGCATAAGGAAGCTTCTACCTTCAAGGAATTTTTCAACTACACTGAGAAGAAATCTGTCTGAATTCGTGCAATGGACGAAGCGGAATCAAGCGTCGAATCGACAACACTGATATTTTGAGAGAGATCATCCATCAAAGGTAAATAGATCGCACGCTTCTCATTCCTGATTGCAATTTTGGCCCTTACTAATACTAGCTCTTCGCTCTTTGCTCTTCCTTTCGATGTTCTCTCGTTATAGTAGTAATCTATTCGTGAAAGGGTTTATTGACTTTTTCGTCGATAACCAATGCCATGACGATGGTGGCTTTTATCTTCTTTGGGACACTTTCAATAGATTCAATCAGATCGTTTTACCAAATTAAACGTTTTACCGAAACGAGAATTTTTTTTTCTTTACTTCTTTCTTTTTTTACTTATTTCCTTTAAAGAAATTCTTTTCCTGTTTTTCTCTTTTTTAATACATTGATATTAGATCTTGTAATAATAATAATTATTATTATTATTATTATTATAATAAAAGTTGTTATTATTGTTTTTGTTGTTGTTATTACTATTATTATTATTATTATTATTATTATTATTATTATTATTATTATATAATTATTATTATTTTTTTTTAAATTATTATTATAGATAATAACAATGAACACATGAATTCTGATCGTCAGTGAATTCACAGTCGATGAACATTAGAAGAACAAATTCGAAAGAAATATCTTGACATAGAAGTTTCGAACGAGCTTTTAACGGTGTGGGCGGAAACATTGAGACTTGAAAGCCCCCGCGCTATCTTGGAGCCCTCTCCTGACAGTCTAGAACTTGCTAGATTTGGGCGGGCAAGCGAGCATAGGTACAAGTTTTAAAAGTCGAGAGCCCACCGCTTCCGAAACTTTTCTGAAGAACTCGACGAATAGAATAAACTTGTGTCCGTATCTTTCTGTGTTCCTACGTATATATAGATGTAGATATACAAGTATTATCGGATAGGTTTGTAGATGGGTGTTGCTCCAGATGCGTCTACCCTTTGAATGGTATAACGAAATGGGGCAGAAGTTATCCACCTTTTTTATTTTGCCGCGTGTTTCGTATATATGTATGTTGCACTTGATAGCCTAGGTCGAGATTTGTGATCGAGGAACTTGAACTTCGTCCTCAATTTTATCCACCATTCGTTACTTTCTTTTATTTTGTTTGTTTTATTCGATTGTTCAAATTTCTTGCAAGTTGAAATAAAAAATAAAAAAAAAAATGAAATGCTTGTAAATATAAAAAATTGTATGAATAATTGTAAAATAGATATAAATTATTGTATATATAAATAATTGTAAAATATATTTGTATATTTTCAAATAATATTCGTTAAAAGGAATCATTTTATTCTTTTCTTTCTCTTTTTCTTTTTCTCTCTTTTTCTCTTTTTCTCTCTCTCTCTCTCTCTCTCTCTCTCTCTCTAATGCTTTTAGTGCGAACTTGGAAGGCGTTAAAATTTGGCGGGCGTTCCCTTTGTCAAAGTACCAAATGATTAATCGTGCGTTTCTCCCTCGTTCCAACCTTTGCAAGCATTGAATATGTACGCTGATCTCTCTCTCTCTCTCTATTTCTCGTATAATATATATATAGGCCATATACATATATATTATATGTATATATATATATATATATATATATATATATATATATTATATATATATATGTGTGTTTGTATACCTATGTGTGTACTAGCTTTGTGAGCAATGAGAATTCGTCAATGTCGAAAATCGGAGCGAAAGCTGGGTGAGTGATCGACCACGGTTGAGCCTTTACACAATGTTTCATTCTGTATATGTTCCAATCGCATTATTTTCGCGAGAATGATATTAGGCATGTAACCACATAAGGGTTCGGTATTGTCATGTTAATTCGATTAAATTGTCACTTATATCACACTTCTTTCAAGAAAATTCTCATGATTTGATTTGCCACGCGAAATGATATTTCTTTTTCAAATACAATTTCCAAAAGATAATATATCCAATAAATATTTATTTTTGTTTATGTGGTAAGAGAACAAGTAACCTTTTTCTTAGGAATAGTCTAATGTATTCTTTTTTGTATTTCGATATTTCTTATTTTCATAATAACATTATATATATATATATATATATATATATATATATATATATATATATATATCATTTCATATAAGATATATCGGATAGGATAAATTCGGCACAAGATAGTACGGGATTTTTCCAGAAAAACTCCGAAACTTCGATTTCAGTCCTTTCTCGTGAGAAGTATATTCTTCGTCGCTTTTATTTCCTTATCGGATATTCGGTCCTGCCGATATTTGTTATTCCAACGACATCACGCATAAACTCCCCAGTCCGAATGGTCGTCCTTCTTATTCGATATTCGCTTGCTCGAAATAAATAGCCGCGTGCTGAATTAATGATCTTCGATTTTTTCCTCACACACACATACACACATACACACACACACAAAATACTATATTCGAATCTGTTTATATCCTATCACAAAATCAAATAAATGCTATCATTCAGAACCAATATCGAGATGGTGCTAACAAAAGGCATAACACGAAATAAAAAGAAATGGACGATTTGAAATCGGCCATATTTTATAAAAGGTTTTCCATGATATATAAGGAAACGGATGATCTCTCAAGTCCTCGTCTTGGCAGAATAGCTTCTCATTTCGAGTAATTGGCTGTCTAGCTGTATGGTCGAGCGTTAAAACATCTTATACGATGCGATTGAGGCAAACGCCGGAAAGTTTCATTGTTGCCAAGCGATATCCTTCTCTAATTGACTGTTGGGATTTAATTTTCTCATTTTCTTTACTTTTGCGATCAACTTTCTCTCTTCTCTCTCTCTCTCTCTCTCTCTCTCTCTCTCTCTCTCTCTCTGTCTCTTTCTCTTTCTCTTTCTATTTCTTTTTCTCTTTCTATTTCTATTTCTCTTTCTCTTTCTCTTTCTCTTTCTCTTTCTGTTTCTCTTGTTCTGCACTTTTGTGTACTTTAGTTAAGTACCCATTTAGATGTCAGATAAACTTACAAAAATCACTCGAAATTTATGATAAATCGATCTAATTTCACCTCATCGCTTATTTAAAAGAGATTTTGATGACGCGAACGAACAGACTACTTAAATGGCTTATTAAGCAAAGTGCTTCAGGAACTTTTTTAGGGAATTCCTGAATATTTCTACTGAGACGTCGAGCAAGGAATATACTTGTATTAACGTCGTAGGATTCCAGTGATCGATTGCAGCAGGTCGAGGGGAAGCTCTTCCATTAACTCATCTCCGATCGAAGACAGAAACCAATTAGTATCGGGACTGATCAGTGATCTTGCAACAAAATCGATTCGTCATGATGTAAATTAAACTCTGAACGTTTGATTGAATTCTTTATTTTCTTCCAATGATTGTAATCAAAGTTTATAGAAATTTTCTATCATAAATGAGCATATTGTTATTTTGTAAAATAGAAATTTTAATATATTATAATTAATGAAAAACTATGAAATTTCCTGAAGGATAATGAGATATATTTGTTCATTACATCGAACAAGTAATAATCAAATGGAATAATATTGGTTTGTTCCAATTACGTGTTTTCCTTACAAAAAAGGAATGGAGGAAAAAAAATGAATGGCCTGGTGAGCAAAATTATTCTATGGGCAGTAAAATGATATTATTTCGTATCATCGTAGGAACGTCACGTGTGCGTTATTTTCCACGAAATAGAATGACCAGCTTGATATCTAACGAAAAGGAAATTGCTTGAAGAAAGGAAGATACAAAAAAAGTGAACATATATATATTTTCTCGAAAATTTAGAATGTGAAGTATTATATTATGTTGGAAACTATGAAACGGGTGTTTTTGTTTAGTTTTTTATTTTCATTCAACGCCCGTTTCATAATTTCCAACCTAAAATAAGAATGACGGATGAGTAAATAATAACAAAAAAATTAAAAAGAAAAAAATTAGAAAAAAGAGCAAGATAAAGACAGAGATGAAAATAGAGATAAAGATAGAGATAGATAGATAGATAGATAGATAGATAGATAGATAGAGAGAGAGAGAGAGAAAGAGAGAAAGGAAATGAAAGAAAAATAGAATGCAGACGAGAAGGCTAGACATTTTCGAGGTAAGGAAACACGTTAATCTCGCCTCTTTATTTCGAGGTCTTAGGTAGGAGTAAAAAATAGAAAAGAGTAGGATTTTACTACAGCCAAAGCTGAAGATGAAGAAGAAAAGGAAGAGGTAAAGGATGATGAAAAAAAAAGATAAAAAGAAGAAAGATGAAAATGAAGAAGATGAAGATGAGAAAGAAGAAGATGAAGAGGAGAAAAAAGAAGACGAAGATATAAAAGAAGAAGAAGAAAAAGACAAAGAAAAAGAAAGTTTAAGGAACATTTTTCTTGAACCAGGCGAACTTGGAAATCCAAAAGAAATTGACTTAGGTCCGTTCGCGCGACGAGGAGTGAGGAAAAGGGGCGGTGCAACTTCCGCGACGAATTATTCTTACCGGTCTCACGTCATTTCTTTTCTCGACATCTCATTTGGCATGTATCAATGTTGGAAAGCCGAGCAGATGCGAAATACTCATGATTGCGTTTGCATACTCGACGAGGTTGACGTAATTTATGGGAACGTAGGATATAATCGCGTTTTCTTTCTCTATCCCTCTCATCGTTCGCTAGCTCAATCTCGTAGCTTCGATTATTTCCCCTTTAATCTGTTCCCGATAGGTACGTACGATTAGACAACTATACGGATACGGAGGAAGTACTGGAGAATCACAGCAATAGGCGATCCTGGTGTACCATGTAGTTTGAGTTTAACCGTGGATACTATTCTCTCTCTCTCTCTCTCTCTCTCTCTCTCTATCTATCTATCTATCTATCTATCTATCTATCTCTCTCGTTTCACGAGCTTATGACCTTTTCGGTGTTCGCGATCGACGAGATCACCCTGCAGTGAGTCCACTCTTCTTCTCTTTCTCTCTCCCTCGCACACATTGCAACCCCGTTGTTGCTACAGACGTATACGTATTGCAGTTCGATCGATCGCTGAGAATGAAATTGCTTCGCGATCTGCGATCAGAATTGGTTGCTATGGGATAGCTC